CTTAGCTTTAATTTAAGCTGTAAATCAGGTAATGTAAGTTCTTCAATGCTTTTCTTTTTCAAGGTGCTCTGTATTTCCATATAAATTTTGGAACTGGCTTGTCAATTTCTCAAAAAATAAAAATAAAAATTAAAAGCCTGTTGGGAATTTGATAGGGATTGACTTGAATCTAGATAAAAGTGGGTCAAACAGACAGTCTGACAATATCAGTCTTCTAATCCATAAACATGGTAGGTCTCTCTATTTATTTAGGTCTTTTCAAACTCATGTCAGTGATGGATTGCCAGCTTTTATTTTCATTTTTATTTTTTGAGACATAGCATCGCTCTGTCACCAGGCTGCAGTGCAGTGGCACAATCTCAGCTCACTGCAACCTCTGCCTCTCAGGTTCAAGTGATTCTCCTGCCTCAGCCTCCCAAGTAGCTGGAATTAAAGGTGCCCATTACCACATCCCACTATTTTTGTACTTTTAGTAGAGACGGGGTTTTGCCATGTTGGCCAGGCTGGTCTCAAACTCCTGACCTCAAGTGATCTGCCCACCTTGGCCTCCCAAAGTGCTGGGATTACAGGCATGAGCCACCACGCCTGGCCAGTGTTTTGCCACTTTTGATGCATGTCTAATTGATGCATGTCTTAGACATGTTTCATCAGATTAGGAGGTATCTTAGAGTATCTGGATGCAACTGTAGACAGCATTTTCAAAAATGTATCTTCTAATAATTTGCTAATAGAACATGAAATACAGTTTACTGTTCCATCTTAGAGACAAGTTCTCGCTGACTCTAACTTTGAACTCTTGGGCTCCAACGATCCCACACCTCAGCCTCACAAGTAGCTAGGGCTACAGGCATCCACCACCATACCTGGCTAAGCTTCAGACATTTTTTTGCAGAGAAGGGGGTTCTGCTATGTTGCCCAGGCAGGTGTCGAACTCCTGGTCTCAAGCAATTCCCCTAACTTGGCCGCCCAAAGTGTGAGGATCACAGGTGTAAGCCGCAGCCCCCGGCTGATTTATTTTTGATGTGGACCTCGTATCCCGCAACCTTCGTCAGCTCAGCTATCTCCCCTAGCTGCTGTTCTTCAGATTCCACTGGTTTTTCCACGTGTACAATCATGCCTGCATGGGATCATTTTATTTCTTGTTCTCCAGCCTTCACTCCTTGTAATTCTTTTTCTTGCCTTACTGCACTAAGACGCCCAACACTGATAATCTGCAGTGAGAACAGATGCCCCCGCCTCGTTGTTTTTTTTTTTTTTTTTTTTGAGATGGAATCTCACGCTGTTGCTCAGGCTGGAGTGCAGTGGCGCGATCTCGGCTCACTGCAATCTCCATCTCCCTGGGTTCAAGCAATTCTCCTGCCTCAGCCTCCTGAGTAGCTGGGACTACAGGCGCGCCCCACCACTCCCAGCTCATTTTTTTTTTTTTTGTATTTTTAGTAGAGATGGGGTTTCACCATGTTGGCCTGGATGGTCTCGACCTCCTGACCTCCTGACCTCCTGATCCTCCTGCCTCAGCCTCCCGAAGTGCTGGGATTACAGGCGTGAGCCACCGTGCCCAGCTTTTGCCTGTTTTCTCATCTCACGTAAACACTGTTGTCGTCACACTGTGAAGAATGACGTGAGCTGCAGGTTTTTTCATGGATATCCTTCATGAGGTTGAACAAGCTCCCACCTAATACTCATTTGCTGAGTCTTTATCATGAATGGGTGCTGAATTTTATCATCTGCTTTTCACGTCTGTGAGATGATAACACAGTTCTTCATCTTCACTTCACTGCCACAGCGAATGACGCTGATTTTCACGTGGTGAGCAGCGCATGCGGTGCTGAGAAAACCCTTGCCTTTTTAATGGCCAGCTCTGACGTGCCGAGGTTCTGGGGAGTGCTCCTGTGCCTTTGCTCATGCGGAGCAGAGAGCTCTGGGCTTCCTCTCTGGAATGTCCTCACCAGGCTTTGGTCTCGTCGTTAACTGGTAACGTGACAACGCAGGGAGGTGAGGTGTTTCCTCTTCCCCCATCATTCCCTCCTTCAGTGTATACTGGGATTCGCCAGCGAAGCCATCTGGGGCAAGAGTTTTCTTTCTAGAATGGTTTTTAAATTTCAAATTCAATTTCTTTAACAGACATAGAGCTATTTAGATTTCCTGTTTCCTTCTGTCTCTGTCTTGGTAAGCTGCATAATTCAAGGGTTTTGTGTATCTTACCTAAGTGGTCAAATTTCCTGGCCTACGGCTTTTGTAATGTCCCAGGTAGCTCTTCCTGGTGGCATCTCAGTTATTGGACTTTCCCACGGAGCCTGTCATCACACAGGTTGGCTATGGCACCCTGGCCTTTGGTTGATTCCGACCTATAAATTATTGGTCCAGTGGGCTCACAGTTTCCACATTCTAGATGTTGCTTTTCTTGTGTTAATGAGGACCAAGAGAGTTTGCACACGGGGAGCACCAGAAGGCCCTATTTGTGGGTGCTGTGGCCATGTGTGAGCCCTACAGAGCCACACATGGCCACAGCACCCACAAGTAGGTGAGCCACACAAGTGTGAGTCCTACAGAGCCATGAGCCACACAGGTGTGAGCCCCACGGAGCCATGAGCTGCATAGGTGTGAGCCCTACAGAGCCATAAGCCACACAGGTGTGAGCCCCACAGAGCCATGAGCCATACAGGTGTGAGCCCCAAGGAGCTGTGAGCCGCATAGGTGTGAGCCCTACAGAGCCGTGAGCCACAGAGGTGTGAGCCCCAAGGAGCCGTGAGCCACACAGGTGTGAGCCCTACAGAGCCGTGTGCCACACGGGTGTGAGCCCTACAGAGCCGTGTGCCGCACGGGTGTGAGCCCTACAGAGCCGTGTGCCGCACGGGTGTGAGCCCTACAGAGCCGTGTGCCGCACGGGTGTGAGCCCTACAGAGCCATGAGCCACACAGGTTGTGAGCCCCAAGGAGCTGTGAGCCGCACAGGTGTGAGCCCTACAGAGATGTGTGCCGCACAGGTGTGAGCCCCAAAGAGCCGTGAGCCACACAGGTGTGAGCCCTACAGAGCCATGTGCCGCACGGGTGTGAGCCCTACAGAGGTGTGAGCCGCACGGGTGCGAGCCCTACAGAGCTATGACCCGCACGGGTGCGAGCCCTACAGAGCTGTGAGCTGCACGGGTGTGAGCCCTACAGAGCCGTGTGCTGCACGGGTGTGAGCCCTACAGAGCCGTGAGCTGCACAGGTGTGAGGCCCCATGAGCCGCACAGGTGTAAGCCCTACAGAGCCGTGAGCCACATAGGTGTGAGCCCTACAGAGCTGTGTGCCGCATGGGTGTAAGCCCTACAGAGCCATGCACTGCACAGGTGTGAGCTCCATGGAGCCGTATGCTGCAGAGGTGTGAGTTTGGACATCACGTTTTATGTATTTTATTTTTGTTCCGAAGGAGTCTTGCTCTGTTACCCAGGCTGGAGTGCAGTGGCACTATCTTGGCTCACTGGCTAACTGCAACCTCTGCCTCCCAGGTTCTAGCAATTCTCCTGTCTCAGCCTCCCGAGTAGCTGGGATTACAGACATGCACCACCATACCTGCTAGTGTGTGTGTGTGTGTGTGTGTGTGTGTGTATGTGTATGTGTTTTAAGTACAGATGGGGTTTCACCATGTTGGTTAGGCTGGTCTTGAATGCCTGACCTCAGGTGATCTGCCTGCCTTGGCCTCCCAAAGCGCTGGGATTACAGGTGTGAGCCACCACGCCTGGCCAGACATCACTTTTTAAGTTTGCCGTTTTTGGAGTTACGAGTTATCTGGCTTGTCTTTACCCTCCCGTGGGTCTGCGATGCCTGTTGTGGGAAGCAGGAGACAGCAGCCAGGAGCGTTTGTACATCGGCAGCGTGCCAGGACAGCCATGCAGATGCCCCTCCCTCCACAGAGACGCCAGGTAGGGAGCGGGGGAAGGAACACAAAAAAGATTTCCAGCTGTTCAACTCTCCAGGGGTCAAACTCAAAATCAAGGGGTCTCCTCTTTGGTCCTGCCCAGGCCTGATATTTCCCAGCAACAAAGACCCTGGCTCCATTCCCAGAATGTCTGCAGCCGAGAGCTCCGACACCCGCAGCGGAGTTCACCAGGAGGAAGCCATCAAGGGCGGCTTTGCTGCGCAGGGCCTCACAGAAAAGCCACAGAAAACAGGTGACGCTGCCTGTGGAGACACCGTGTCAGGAGGCAGAGAGGGGCCGAGACACACAGCTGCAGGCCCCACCCACAGGTGTCCGCTGTGCACCGGCCACAGAGGATCCAGACCCACCCCCGCCCACCGGGATGCAGCTGCTCCGTCCTCGCAAAACCAAGACGGGGAAAGGGATTTTTTCAGGTAGCGTCATTAAAGGCACTCTGTTGCCTTAAACTCTGTGACTGGACAGCGACGCCACATATCACTTCCGGAGCGAGAGACCTTCACTCTGACACAACTGGAATGTACTCAGGTAAAGCAGAAAACCTGGCCCAAAGTCGAGGGAGGGATGCGCCAGGGCTCCGGGAACAGCAGTCTGTGCGCAGCCCCTGTGGGCCGGGCCGGAGCAGCCCTGAGTCAGGAACTCAGGTGAGGCCGTCCAGGCCCACGTGCCTGCTCCCTGCCACACCACAGCAGCTTGAGGCAAGCAGAGGGGAGAGGCGCGCCTCCCTGCCCCACCGTCGCCCTCGAGGGACCACGGCAACTCCACGATGGCTCCCGCTCGGGCCCAGGGAGCAATGACCCGCACAACCTGAAGATCCACGCAGCCCAGCCGGGGCCAGCATCGAGGGGTGGAGGGCCCCTGGTGCTTGTTCCAGGGCAGTCAGGTGGCACCGACCCATGCATGCCACCAGCCTGGACACCAGCACCGGGGCCCTGTGTGCTGCCCTTACCCTCTAACACCTAGTGGCACCAGCAAGCTTAGCTATCCTGTGCACGCACGGTCGCAGGTCAGGGAGAGGATGCCCACTACCTGCCGCTGCAAGGCCTGGGGGGAGTTCCGGGAGCCAGGCCTGCTCTGCCACACACCTGGGGTGGGAAGCCCACTACCGTGTGACGGTGACCTCTGTGCTGCTGTGGAGACACCCGTCTCTGCTGTGTGGTGGTGACCTCTGTGCTGCTGTGGGGATGCCCATCTCTGCTGTGTGGTGACCTCTGTCCTGCTGTGGGGACGCCCGTCTCTGCTGTGTGGTGGTGACCTCTGTGCTGCTGTGGGGACGCCCGTCTCTGCTGTGTGGTGGTGACCTCTGTCCTGCTGTGGGGACGCCCGTCTCTGCTGTGTGGTGGTGATGCTGTATGACTTCCCTGGTGCTCCTGCCAGCTCCTCCGCTGAACCTTGGGCTGACAATCGAAATACAGAACACTTCCATCACCCCGAAACTTCCAAAACGCTTCCTCCCGCTCTGCTCCACCTAAACCCCCAAGGCGCTTTCTCTGAGCGCGCCCACGACCATCCGCCTGTTGCAGGTTCTCTCACAGAAGGACTGGCTTGGTGCACACGCCTCTGTGTCTGGCTTCTCTCACTCGGTGCGGCTCTGAGACCACCTGCGGGTTTTCCGCGTCTGTGGCTTCTTCCTTCTCACTGTGGAGGGGCCGCAGCCGTGTGGGAACGTGGCCTGTGTGTTACCTGCTCTCCTGCTGTGGCCGTCCGTTTCCTGTCCACGCTCTTGCGGACAATGCTGTTCGATCATGGTTTCCCTTTCTCGAGCAACTATCTAGAGTGGGAACGCTGGGCTGCGGGTGGGAGCGGGCGAACTCTCTCCCAGCATGCTGGAGCACTGCACCCACCCCTGGCCAGGTGCCGCATCCCCCACCCCTCACCCCGCTGAGACGGGCTGAGTGCCTGTGTCCCCCTCAGTTCACAGGCGGAAGCCCTGATCCCTGAGACGCGACTGCTAAAGAGGTGATTAAGGTTAAATGTGGTCATGAGGGGAGGCCTTGATCCGACAGGGTTAGTGTCCTGCAAAGCAAGGCGGCATGAGGACATGGAGAAAGGCGTCTTCTCAAGTCACGAAGCCGCGCTTGCCGTAAACCAAACCATCTGGAAGAACTTCGATCTTGGACTCCCAGCCCAACAGCTGTGAGAAAACGAAGGCCTGCCGTTGAAGGCCCGGGCCTGCGGCGTTTTCCGTGGCAGCCTCAGTGTACTGACAAACTTCCGGAGTCCCCAGCTTCCGCCAGCCGTTTTGATTTCAGCCGTTCTTGCGGGTGGGAAGTATCTCCATGTGGATTTACTCGCTGAGCGACGGCTCAAGGGCTTATGACAGCCATTTGCATGTTTCCTTTTGTGAAGTGCCCGAGAAAATCCTCTCCCTCTTTTAAAAATCAAACTATCTTTATTATTGAACTTTATGAATTCTTTCTGTATTCCAGATCCTGGTTGTCAGGTGTGACTCACTGTGAGTATTTCCTCCTCATCTGTGCCTTAGCATTTTCTTGATGTCTTCTGAAGAACAGAAGATTAACTTTGAGAAAGTCCAATGTATCTATTTGTCTCATTATGTTGCCCAGCGTGGTCTTGAACTCCTGAGCTCAAGTGATGCTCCTGCCTTGGCCTCCCAAAGCGCTGAGATTAAAGGTGTGAGCCACTGCACCCAGCCACTTTTTTCTTTTACGGCTAATGTTTTCTGTGTCCTTAGAAACGTTTGCCTAGCACACGGTTACAAAACTATTCTATGTTGTCTTCAAAAAGTGTTAATAGTTTTGGCTTTTATGTATGCAATCCATCTGATATTAACATTTCTGTGTGGTGATGGAGGGGAGGGGCTCCCTTATCCCGAATGGATATCCAGGTGTTCCAGCTCCGCCTGCTGTAAAGGCTTCTTCTCCTCAGCTGAACTGACTTGGTGGCTTGTCAAAAACTCGTTTGATCCAGACTGCGGTGGGACTCCTTCCTTGATTCTCTAATTCACTGGTATAGCTATCTGTCCTCACACCTCATGATGGTTAACACTGAGCGTCACCTTGAGTGGACTGAAGGATGCACAGTACTGATCCTGGGTGTGTCTGTGAGGGTGGTGCCCAAGGAACTTCTTCACATCTGGGTCAGGGGGCCTGGGGAAGGAAGGCAGACTTCTGTTCAAGTCTTTTGCTAAAACCTCCTATTTTATGGTTTGGACCATTATTATAAATGCTACACTTAACATTTTCATTCTCACATTTTCTGCTACCATGTAGAAATACAACTGACTTTAATCCTTCCTCTGGCAGGCACAATCTCATCAGCTGCCAGTGAATCCAAAGCAGGCAGAAGAGCGTGAAGGGTGAGCATGGCCTCACCTCCCAGCCTGCATCTCTCTCCTGGGCTGGATGCCTCCTGCCCTCGAATGCTGGACTGCAAGCTCTTGAGTCTTGAGACTTGAACTGGCTCTCCTTCTTCTTCCAGACTGCAGACCGCCTACTGTGGGACCTTGTGAGCATGCGAGTTAACTAAGCTCCCTTTTATATGCATATATATCCTATCAGTGCTGTCCCTCTAGGGAACCCTGACTGATTCATGCCTATAGCACACTTATCTCCATTACCATCATTTTCAGTCAATCTTGGAATCAAGTAGTATGACTCCAGCATCTTTATTCTTCAGAATTGTTTTAGCTATTTAGGTCTCTGGCATTTCCATATAAACCTAAGAGTTTATCTATTTCTGGAAAAAAAATCCTTATGGGATTATGTTTGGGATTTCATGAAAACTACAGCTCAATCTGGCAGCAACACGGACAGTTGGACAATATTAAGACTTTGATCCATGAACATGGTATATCCCTCCACTGACTTAAGTGTTCTTTACTTTAAGCAATGTCTGGTAGCTTTCAAGGCAGACGTGCTGCATTTCTTCTGTTAAAATTTCCTCTCTTATGGTTTTGAATGTTATGATAAACACTATCCTTAACATTTTCATTTTGACATTTCCTGCTAGCATAGAGAAATACAACCGACTTTTGTATGGTAGCCTTGAAGCCAGCAGCTGACGTCCAGCTCGGGTGGGCGCAGAGGCTGTGCCTTCTCCTTTCCTTCTGCTTGGCACCCTCACCTGTAGGGCCATGGGACTCTCCCTGAGATGGCTCTGAGGAACCCAGTGGTCAGGGCACTTCAAACCCTCCAGCCCACAAAACCACAGGTGCCGGTTTCTGAGTGGACCTGCCAGGCCGACTGTGTGGCTCTGGTTCTGATCCAGGCGCAAAAGTTGGGGGTAAGGGGTGTCCATGGCTTCCCGGCTGGTTCGGTCCACCAGGCTGCTCCTCACCAACAGGTGGACACTCTGCTGCTGTCGCTCTTTCTCGTCAACTCACCCTCTGCTTTCCACCAAAGGAACATGACTCAGACCCAACATACAAGTGTATCAAGTAATTTTACCTTTTAGTGCACCTGATAATTTCTTCTCCAGCTGGCACTAACAGTCAATCAAAATGCCATACAAGGTGCTTCCAAGGAGCTGATGAATTCCTGCATGCCCCAGGCCTTGTGGGAGCTGTTCCACTCTTGGCACCAGAAGCCTTGCACAGAACAGCCTGGCAGCCCCCCTGCAGGGCTGGCTCCTCTCCCCACAGCTGTGGCCTGAGACACTGTCTCTCCCAACAGGGCTGCCGTCCACACAGTCCATTGAAACAGTGTATACACTTCTGTGCATCTTCAAGCCAGCGGAGCGGTGGAATCCAGAACTAAGTCCAAGACGGACCAGGACCCACTGCCTGTGAAAGCATCTGTACTCTGGCTGGAAACATCTCCAGTCTAATTCAATGGAGAAATAAATCCGGAGAGAGCATCCCACTTTCCTGTGGGATCTGGGCACCGGGCCACAGCGATGCTGTCCTCAAACAAGCCATGTCCAACCATCTGCGGCCGGTCCCCTACTACCTCAGCTGGGACCTTGCCTGAAACCAGTTCCAGAGGCTCTCCAGGGACCCCACCCAGCCATGCCTCAATCCCATGGTGCCACAGCCCCAGGACACCCTATCTGGCAGGAGGCAGACTGGCAGAGGGGCTGGACTGCCGTGTTCACACAGTAGACAGTGGGATACAGGAGGAGGAGGAGGAGGAGGAGGAGAAGGAGGAGGAGGAGGAGGAGGAGGAGGAGGAGGAGGAGAAGGAGGAGGAGGAGAAGGAGGAGGAGGAGAAGGAGGAGGAGGAGGAGAGGAGCCTGCAATGTTGACACAGTAGACAGTGGGCTATGGGAGGAGGAGGAGGAAGAGGAGGAGGAGGACGAAGAAGAGCCTGCGGTGTTCACACAGTAGAGAGTGGGCTATGGGAGGAGGAGAAGGAGAAGGAGAATGAGGAGGAGGAGGAGCCTGCAATGTTCACACAGTAGACAGTGGGCTATGGGAGGGGGAGGAGGAGGAGGAGGGGAGGAGGAGGAGGAGGAGGAGGAGGAGGAGGAGGAGGAGGAAGAGCCTGCAGTGTTCACACAGTAGAGAGTGGGCTATGGGAGGAGGGGGGAAGGAGAAGGAGGAGGAGGAGGAGGAGGAGGAGGAGCCTGCAATGTTGACAGAGTAGACAGTGGGCTATGGGAGGAGGAGGAGGAGGAGGAGGAGGAGGAGGAGGAAGAGCCCACAGTGTTCACAAAATAGAGAGTGGGCAACGGGAGGAGGAGGGGAGGGAGGAGGAGGAGGAGGAGGAGGAGGAGAAGGAGGAGGAGGAGGAGCCTGCAATGTTGACACAGTAGACAGTGGGCTATGGGAGGAGGAGGAGGAGGAGGAGGAGGAAGAGCCTGCAGTGTTCACACAGTAGACAGTGGACTATGGGAGGAGGAGAAGGAGGACAAGGAGGAGGAGAAGGAGAAGGAGGAGGAGAAGGAGGAGGAGGAGGAGGAGGAGAAGAAAGAAGAGCCTACAGTGTTCACACAGTAGAGAGTGGGCTATGGGAGGAGGGGGGAGGGAGGGAGGAGGAGGAGCCTGCAATGTTGACACAGTAGACAGTGGGCTATGGGAGGAGGAGGAGGAGGAGGAGGAGGAGGAAGAGGAGGAAGAGCCTGTAGTGTTCACACAGTAGAGAGTGGGCTACGGGAGGAGGGGGGGAGGAGAAGGAGGAAGAGGAGCCTGCAATGTTCACACAGTAGACAGTGGGCTATGGGAGGAGGAGGAGGAGGAGGAGGAGGAGGAGGAGCCTGCTGTGTTCACACAGTAGAGAGTGGGCTTTGGGAGGAGTAGGAGGAGGAAGAGGAGGAGGAGGGTTCTGCGGTGTTGACACAGTAGAGAGTGGGATACAGGAGGAGGAGGAGGAGGAGCCTGCTGTGTTTACACAGTCGAGAGTGGGCTATGGCAGGACGAGGAGTAGGAGAAGCCTGCTGTGTTCACACAGTAGAGAGTGGGCTATGGGAGGAGGAGGAGGAGGAGGAGGAGGATGAGGAGGAGGAGCCTGCAGTGTTCACACAGTAGAGAGCGGGCTATGGGAGGAGGAGGAGGAGGAGGGGCCTGCTGTGTTCACACAGTAGACAGTGTGCTATGGGAGGAGGAGGAACAGGAGGGGCCTGTGGTGTTCACACAGGAGAGTGGGCGACAGGAGGAGGTGGAAGAGGAGGGGCCTGCAGTGTTCACACAGTAGAGAGTAGGCTACAGGAGGAGGAGGAGGTGGAGGAGGAGCCTGCTGAGTTCACACAGTAGAGAGTGGGCTATGAGAGGAGGAGGAGGAGGAGGAGCCTGCAGTGTTAACACAGTAGAGAGTGGGCTATGGGAGGAGGAGGAGGAGGAGGAGGAGCCTGCAGTGTTCACACAGAAGAGAGTGGGCTATGGGGAAAGGAGGAAGAGGAAGAGGAGCCTGCAGTGTTCACACAGTAGAGAGCGGGCTATGGGGGGAGGAGGAGGAGGAGGAGCCTGCAATGTTCACACAGAAGAGAGTGGGCTATGGAAGCAGGAGGAGCCTGCTTTGTTCACACAGTAGAGAGTGGGCTATGGGGGGAGGAGAAGGAAGAGGAGGAGGAGGAGGAGCAGCCAGTTGTGTTCACACAGCAGAGAGTGGGGTATGGGAGGAGGAGGAGGAGGAGGAGGAGGAGGAGGAGGAGGAGGAGACTGCAGTGTTAGTACAGTCGAGAATGGGCTATGGGGGGGAGGAGGAGGAGGAGGAGGAGGAGCCTGCTGTGTTCACACAGTAGAGAGTGGGCTATGGGAGGAGGAGAAGGAGGAGGAGCCTGAAGTGTTCACAAAGTAGAGAGTGAGCTATTAGAGGAGGAGGAGGAGGAGGAGGGGGGGGTCTGTGGTGTTCACACAGTAGAGAGTGGGCTACAGGAGGAGGACGAAAGAGGAGCCTGCTGTGTTCACACAGTAGACAGTGGGCTATGGGGGGAAGAGGGGGAGGAGAAAGAGGAGGGAGGAGGAGGAGGAGGAGGAGCCTGCAGTGTTCACACAGTAGAGAGTGGGCTATGGGGGGAGGTGGAGGAGGAGGGGCCTGCAGTGTTCACCCAGTAGAGAGTGGGCTACAGGAGGAGGAGGAGGAGGACCGGCCTGTGGTTTTCACACAGTAGTGAGTGGGCTATGGGAGTGGAGGAGGAGGAGGAGGAGGAGGAGGAGGAGGGGCCTGTGGTGTTCACACAGTAGAGAGTGGACTATGGAGGTAAGAGGAGGAGGAGGAGGAGGAGAAGGAGGAGGAGGAGGAGGAGGAGGAGGAGGAGGAGAGGAGCCTGCAGTGTTAACAGAGTAGAGTGGGCTATGAAAGGAGGCGGAGGAGGGGACTTCGGTGTTGACACAGTAGAGAGTGGGCTATGGAGGAGGAGGAGGAGGAGGAGGAGGAGGCCTGCAGTGTTCACACAGAAGAGAGTGGGCTACAAGAGGAGGAGGAGGAGGAGGAGCCTGTGGTTTTCACACAGTAGAGTGCGCTATGGGGGGAGGGGGAGGAGGAGGAGGAGGGGCCTGCGGTGTTCACACAGTAGGGAGTGGGTTATGGGGGGAAGAGAGGGAAGAGAAGAAAGAGAAGGAGGAGAAGGAGGAGGAGGACAAGGAGGAGGGGTCAGTGGTGTTCACACAGTAGAGAGTGGGCTATGGTGGGAGGAGGTGGAGGAGGAGGAGCCTGCTGTGTTCACACAGTAGAGAGTGGGTTATGGGAGGAAGAGGAGGAGGAGGAGGAGCCAGTTGTGTTCACACAGCAGAGAGTGGGCTATGGGAGGAGGAGGAGGAGGAGGAGGAACCTGCAGTGTTCACACAGTTGACAGTGGGCTATGGGAGGAGGAGGAGGATGAAGAGGAGGAGGGGCCTGTGGTGTTCACACAGTAGAGAGTGGGCTATGGGGGGAGGAGGAGGAGGAGGAGCCTGCAGTGTTCACACAGTGGAGAGTGGGCTATGGGGGGAGGACAAGGAGGAGGAGGAGGAGGAGGAGGAGGAGGAGGAGCCTGCAGTGTTCACACAGTGGAGAGTGGGCTATGGGAGGAGGAGGAGGAGGAGGAGCCTGCAGTGTTCACACAGTAAAAACAGCAAGGTCCTATAGAAGTGTCCAAGGCCCCCCCACAGCCCCAGAAAACTGACCCGTCAGGGACACCCTGATGCCTGCCATCCACAGGTATGCAGCGACATAGTGGACGTGTGCCCATCACCCCTGTGCAGCTGGGGCAGGAACACCCGGGTTGAAGCTGGCATGCCACAGAGGGCAGGGAGGAAACCGGGGGGCTGTCTGCCTGGGACAACCCTCTGGACGCCTTGTACTGCGGGGTATGAAGGCTCTGGTTTGAAGCCTGTCTTTGCAGGTCTCCTACCAGTGCCACCGAGCCTGCAGTGACAGCCTGGGAAGTGCTCATTGTGAGAGACCACGAAGCCCTCACAGGAAGGGAATAAAGGGAATTAGGGGCTTGGTCCCACCAGGGAGCCCCATTTTCCCGGAGAAATGGCCAGTCCACTCCATGCATGGCTGACGTTTCTGCAGCACCGGCTAAGGGCTGGTGCTGGTGAGATGCAAGGGATGTGGGTGAAGGGGACAGAGGAGGAGGGCACGGGAAAGACGGGAGTTGCAGGGGACGGAGTCCTGAGCTGAATGAGACGGAAGGAAGAGCTATGCCTAGACAGTGGACATCACGGTGCAGGGAACACATGGCGAGGAGTGGGCTCACAGTCCCTCACAGTGGGCAAACACACACTACACGCCACCCCGAGCCACGTTTCATGCTAGACTGAGCCACGCTACACCAAAGCACGACACATGATACCCCAAACCACGCAGAGCAGTTGCTGCCTCAATCCATGGCTGGTGCTATGTCAACACTGAGTGTCTGAAGCTTCGTGAGGGGAGAGGGTGACAGGGGCTGCCAGCACTCGGGCACTGTGCCCAAGGCATGACCTGCAGCTGAACACAGGCGCAGCAGCCGCGCCTCAAGTCCAGGGAGAGAAGGAGGCTCCGGCCATGGCCCTGAGTGGGGCAGCCCACGGCCGGGGGTGGGGGCGACTTCCTTAGTGTTGTGTGCAACTCTTCTGTGCGTCTTCCCCGGGTCCTCCACCAAACACTGAAGGGCATGGGTGCTCAGAGAGCACATCTGACGTGACGACACGGTTTCCAGGGCAGAGCTGGAGGATTTCCTAATTCCAGCACAAAACTAGAATCTCACTAACAACTCGTCACGTGGCAGACAGTGAGAGCTGCGAAGCTCCGGGTTAGTACGTCACAAGTCAAAGGGCCCACGTCACTCCAACTGTTAAGTGCAGAACACGTTTCCATGAACTCAGAGGTCACACGACCGAAGCTGACTATGCAGCTGGCACGTGTCCTCGCCGTGTGCAGGGCTGACGAGCAGCGATGGCTGCCCCCACGCCAGGGCCTGGCAGGGAACCCGGACCGTCTGCCTGTCCTAAGAGACGGCGAAGCCAAGCAGGCCGGGCGTCCGGGAGGCACGCAGCCGACAAGCCAGTGAGGAGGCCACGCTTTCCCTGGACATCAGGATGGCGGGTCTCATGCCTCCTTCACCCTCGAATATATATGTCTGTGAACACGCCCACTGTGGCCTAAGACTCTGTCATTTAAGGACGAGCTCTGAAGTATCTTGGACACTTGGGAAAGCACAGGAGGGCTGGTGGGGGAGGCCAGGTGCCCAGTGCTCCTCCCTGTCTCCTCCTCAAATATACTCAACGGTGTGGTTCTTTCCCAGAAACAGGGATCACGAACCTGCCCGGGACAAACCAGCCGAGCCCCCAGCATTCAAACACAGGCCCCTGGAGGGCAGAAGAGCGTGCAGCTGGCCAGGCCGGGCCGACAGGAGGACGGCGGGCGGCAGGGGAAGAGGGAAGGCAGCCCCACGCCACCCAAAAGCCGTGCAGGTTAGAAGAGTCGTGATTCCCCAAACGCGATAGGAGAGCTCCACTCACCGCCCCGAGCATGATCCTGAAAATCAGCCAGCGGAAGCCCCACAGGACAATTCGGGACGTGGGGGTGTGCCGGGGCAGCCTCGAAAGCGTCCACAGCGGGCACAGGAAGATGCCCAGGAAGCCCGTCTCCAGAAGCTGGGACTCCCATCCTAAAATGACAGTCACACACACCAAGGGTGAGTTCATGGAGGCCACACGTTCCACACATCATTTCAGATCATCAGTTAAATGGAAACGGCCCTAACGCGGCGGACGCTGCTACTGAGAGGCACGAGTGCCATGTGTTAGTGTCGGCACCAACGTGCAAAGACAGGCAGGTCTGCGGGAGCGGGGGCTCGGAGCGCAGGACCCGGGGCCTGGGCTGGCACTTCCTGTCACCTTGGCACCCTCCGCCCTTGAGGGAAAGGCCCTGTTCTGAGGGCCACCACCTGCCACCCGGCAGGACGCTGTGCAGACCCGACATCTGAGCCCGCACCCTGTCACGTGCTGCCGGCAGGTGTATGGGGGAAGCCTTTCCCCTCCCGTAGCTTTGCACGAAAACAAAGCTTTCACCTTCTTCGCTGCCCTGCCTCCATGTGAAGCAGGGTCTCCCCTGGCTCTGTCCTTCCCGGGCAGGCCCGGAAGCCAGGCAGAGAGGGAGAGGCAGGTCGTGGCGGGTCCACATGGCACCAACACCAGTCAGCCCCTCACAGGCCCAGGAAGTCCCCCACTGCTAGCGGCAGGTGAAATCCCCCACTGCTGCTAGACGTGGGGGACTTGTGGGGACCCCACAGATTTTTCTCCCTAGAAACACGGCATGAGAACGCAGATGTGGGCCACCATCCCAGTGCTATTCTCAGAGGTGAGGCCACCGTGGATGTGGCTGCTGGAAACTGTCCACAGCCCACGTCTGTCCACGGCAGGTCACATCCCAGGGGCCCAGAGACCCCGCAGGCCAGGCTCCCTGCTGGGCTCTGAGGACGCCAGATGGGACAGAGGCCACCCGCTGCCCAGAGTGACAACGATCACACGACTCCCGACACCACCACGTCTATGCGCCACAGGGAGGAAGGGAGAGTGCGGACGGGCTCGTGGGGAGCTCCTTCAGCAACTCGTCCGTACCTGAGAAATCACGGTGAAGTCAAGCTGTGAAGAAGCTACTGTGGCAGCACTGGAGCATAACCCAAAGCACAAAATAAACGCCCGCCAGTGCACACGGACGCGGGGGCATCGCTGATCAAACACATCTGCGTGCGCGGAGGCAGCGTGGTCCTGCTCTGCTCTGAGCGGATAGACGGTCAGACTCACACTGTCCGGGCTCGTGGAGGGCACAGGCCGCGGAGCTGAGGCCCGGCAGTCTCACGGTGGGACACCCTCTGCCTTGCCCACGCCCCAGGCTCTCTGGGCCCCATGTTTCCCACAGAAGCCAGAGCTGCCGGGCTGGCTGGGCCCTGCGGCCGCCCTGGGAAGGAAAGGGTGGCCCCAGGCCCACCTGCTTCTGTTTTCTTGGCTCGGGTCTCGTGGAATTCCTGCAGCTGCGCGGCGGCACAAGGGCTGCATTGTTCTCCGCCTCAGCGTGGCGGACGGCGCGTCCCCGGGAAAGTCAATCAGCTGTGCACAGCCAGGGCGGCCTCAGCGCCAGGGCCGTCCCCGCAGCACCCACCCAGCAGACTCCAGCACCGCCTGAAGCCAGCCCCAGGTGCCCGAAAGAGGCGGCAACGTGGCCGGTGAGAGTGGCAGGCCACGCCCCCTGCACACTCTGCCAGGTGCACAGCTGCACGTACTGTCTTCCCGGCTTCAGCATCTGTGCCCTGCTACTCCTCAGGGGCCTCCCTTCCCTTTAGTCAGGGAGACGGCTCCAGGAAGGTCGCTGCCCTGCTCACTGCCTCCGGTGTTGTTTCCGCCGCCTGCTGGGCTGGGCCTTCCAGGGACAGAGCACCGCCCCGTGGGGAGCCTGGTGCGCTCTGCTTGGGGGCTGGGGGCAGCTCTCGGGGGGAACGTTCACTTCCACGGCTGCTGCTCTCCTTCCTGTGATACAGACAGCACTGGCCCAATCACCGGAGACGCTCCTGGGCCCCGCCCACTGGACAGGGTGCGACCCTTGGGGAGGCACCCAGGGCACCACCTTCTGGAACAGAACCCGAGGCCGGCTGTCTCCCAGGGATGTCCCCCAAGAGGCGGCACATCGGGGAGGAGACGCAACCTGTCCTGGGGCTGGGACCACACTCAGGGGACCCACAGGACCCGTCCCAGACAAAACCTCAAAGCAGCTTTGGCCTCAGCGGCGGCAGCCAGCCACCCTCACTGATGCCTCCAGGTCGGAGCCACTGCTTCCCACTGCGGTCTGCAGGCCCTACAGGCTGTCTATGGCTTGTGCCTCCTGTCCCGGCATTGTGCCCTCGCCCAGAGGCCAGGGCAGCAGCTCTGAGAAACGGCTGTGCATGAAGCTGGCAGGGTGACCCCCTGGTGTCAGGAAAGCCGTAGCTGCATCCTCCCCTTCAGGCATGCACGGCCACCTTGGTGATCTGTCACACTGCACTGAGACCTGAGGGGCACCTGAATGCCTGAGACCCAGGGGCACCAGCCCTGGGGTCCTGCTCACTCCTGCCCTGGCGCCTCACCCAATGCACTCGTGTTAATTGCTCATTGCCTGCTGGACACCCCGATGCTGGTGTGGAGTGATGCAGGTGCCCCAGCACCAGGCACAGATGGGCATGTCGCCTCTCAGCTGTCCTCCCCCTCAGAATTCACTCGGATCCACAGCCAGGCTGGTGCTCGAGGCAGGAGCCTGTGTTCTGCAACCTGGCTGGCGTTGCAGGTGACTGTACTGGGCCATTCACAGGGGTCTCGGGGCATCAGAAGAGGCAGAAACGAGTGTCATCAACGCCTTGCTGGAGACAGTTTAGAGCCTGGTGGCTCTGGACGCCAGGTGTGCAGCTGCGGGAGGCGTGGAGCACACAGGAGAGAGGCTTTGCCATGGGGCAGCCCAAGGTGCGTGGCGGGGCCAGGGCCAGACCTGCAGATGCCCGACGCCCGGACAGGGATTCTGAGGCCTTGGTTTATAACGGAACTTTTAAGATGAAACACTCGGAAGAAGCAATGTGCAGATGATAGCAACTGCCACACAGCACGTCTCAGAGAGGCGCCCACAGCTCCAGACTTTGGAATCGCTTCTCACCATTGGTGACGGACTTGAGGCTGGGGCAGCTGCAGCTGCACACGCCGTCATTAGAGGCCCCACGAGATGCCGAGCCCTGGGGACAGGGACACGCCCACCACCGTGCCCCAGGCTGTCCCTGACCACTCCCGGCAGGGGAGCACACATCCCCATCACTGCGCCCTGGGCCATCCCTGAACACTCCCAGGAGAGGCGCGCAATCCCAGCACTGCACCCCAGGCGGTCCCTGAACACTCCTAGAAGGGGAGCACACTCCCCACGTTTCAGGGTACTGCAGGTTGCTTCAGTACAAACCCTTCCAGCCCCCTGTGAAGACAGTGCCAACCCAAATGGGGAGAAAGCCAGGCAGGCCGAAACCCAGAGGCTCCTCACACGCAACCTTCCTGCTCTGCAGGACAGAGACCCGATGCTGGCTCACGGGTCCGTGAGAGAACGCACACTGCCGTGAGCCCTGAGCCTGTGATTGCTCCAGCTCTCCACATTCAAACCAGAAACGCTCTCTCCCTTCCTTTCCTCGACCACTGGTGACAAAATTTAATTATCCTGGACCAGATGGAAAGGTTGTTCCTCTGAATGAAATTTCCAAGTGCAGATCACTTATGTGAGGCAGTGGCTGAAGCAGAGGCCCTGAGGACACCCACCTTGCTATTCCCTGCTTGGCTGACCCAGGAAGGGCTTTCGAGCCCCAAGGGCTTGCAGGGTCTTCACTGTCCCATACATACCTCCTAGATGACAAGGTCCTGTGCTATTTGCTTAAACACTGACAATTTAAAAACAGCCAAAGAACAACTCACTTCAAAGATCCAGCTTCAAAGAGCTGGCTGTGGAGAGCCAAGGGGCTCCTCCAGGGGACATTCAGGCTGGACGGGCCCCGGGTGCACAGGTGTGAGGAGACATGGGTGTGGACAGGCCTCAAACACCAGAGAAGCCAGGCGCATGATGGCACAGAGGGCAGCCAGAGGCCACGGGGCGGTGCAGAGAGCCCTCCTCATTCTCACCATAGCCAGGGTCCCTCACTCCGCCACCAAACTCCTAGGTACCTGCTCCCCAAATAAAACCCAGGCAGAAGAGGTCAGATGCTTACACAACCTCTGTATTTATGGGAATCAAAGGTTGAGGAGGGACCCTCTGCCAATGAAGAACCATGAGATTCGCCACCAAGAGGCCAGATCTGCACCTGGAGGCCCAGGGCATGCAGAAACACGTGGAGGGACAGGGCTGAGCTGGGCGGCCAGCAGCACACTCATGCGACTGCCAGACTTGGGGGCCCCAGAGGGCAGAGGGTCCTAGGCCAGCCTAGGGACAGGGTGCACTGTTGGCCAGGCAGGGCACTGGGGTGGAGCCTGAACTGGGGTTTTCCAGATCAAAGTCCTGGAGGTCAGCAGCCGTGTGGATGAGACACACGCAGGGTGAGAGACTGCAGTGCCTCAGGTGGGTGAGACGAGCTCCGGAACCAGGGGTCAGAGTGGGGGCCAGGGCAGGTGAGATGCGGGGGCCCGGGGCAGGGGAGATGGGGGGGCCGTGGCAGCTGAGACGGGGCCTGGGACAGGGGAGATGCCAGGGCCTGGGGCAGGTGGGACTTCGGGGGCCGTGGCAGGTGAGACGTTGGGGCCCGGGACAGGGGAGATGCCGGGGCCTGGGGCAGGTGGGACTCGGGGGGCCATGGCAGGTGAGACATTGGGGTCTGGGGCAGGTGAGATGGGGGGGCCTGGGGCAGGTGAGATGCCGGGGCCTGGGGCAGGGGAGATGTGAGGTGCCGGGGGCAGGTGAGATGTGGGGGGCCCGGGGCAGGTGAGATGCCGGGGCCTGGGGCAGGGGAGATGCCGGGGCCTTGGGCAGGGGAGATGTGGGGGGACCGGGGCAGGGGAGATGCCGGGGCCTGGGGCAGGGGAGATCCTGGAGCCTGAGGCAGGTGACACCCAGGCACTGCTCGGCCACCAGTGAGGGCAGAGGCTTGAAGGGTGCAGAAGGTGTGCAGGGTGGGGGCAGCCG